TACTGTAGGTGCACAATTCTAAGTTTGTGTTGCATGCTTTGTTTTACTGTGCTAATCGTTCATTCAATAGCATGCTTGTTACCGCTCTCGCTATTCAGTTAGTATAAGGCCCAAAATGATGCGCCTAATAACCTGACTGGCTGTAAGTGAATTCTTTCATCCCCTCATTCTAATTATCAATCTTTATTATGTCTTGACAACCAGGAATATACCTTTGAATTTATTCAGACAAGTGTTTGTCATTCTCTAGTCATTCTCCCAGCAGTCGCTTGGACGGTTGTGAATTTCATTACTTGTGGCTTAGACATTGATGCCAACCAAGATGATGTTGACATCCGTGTTGTCAGCAAAATGCATCTGATCAGGATCCATTGACAGTTTCTGTCAGTTTCGTACAATCGATCAGTCTGACATTCCTCAAATGTGTTAACTCTTTGTACATAATCGTAAATGTCCAGGCCTGACTGTTTATCGGGTAAAACATAAACCTTGTTTTTCTAAAACAACTCACTACTGGTACACTTCATTCGTACCAAATTCGGTGTAGAGGGTAGCAGCCAAGCCCAGCGGCTTTTCGGCATAGACTGGTTTCACTTTCAGGTCTAAATCTCCATCAAGCCTTACAAATCTCACACTACCAATAGAGTCTTTTAGTTGTTTAAATTACTATCCACCAGCTCTTTTATGTGACTTTATTCTTGCTTATTTTTTTCAGAGACATTTATCCTAACCAGTTGCCGCTCTGTGTTTGTTTTTGTCACCACTGAATTTTGTGCTTATCACTCACACTTGCTCAACGAGCACTAATGGAGTGCTAGAATGCAGGGTCGATGAGTAATATGCGTTTCTCACAGACCTCTACATGAACACATCGAGAAGCCATAGAATTAAACTGAAATATTGACACCCTCCGCAAGTACACCCTTCTGAACTCAGTTTACCATTCAAATAGTTTAAAAAGTATTTGGGCCTCCAGTAGAATCTCGGAAAGTTTCTGACTGTGCCCTCCACTGCCGTGGTTTCACTCTAGAGCACCCTATTACTTATTTATTTTTACTATATGTGATTTATTGTTGGTGTCAACTAGTGTGTTTCTTGATAATCAAGCAAGAGGAAGGTGGACCACAACGAATCGACCCACCAAGACAGGAAATAACGAGTGGCAATTTCAGCAGGCAATGGGGCAAGGGAATGTAAGTAATACAGACCACAACTTAACACAGATAAAGATCGGATCAATAGGACTCCGAATGAGATTGTTAACAATAGCCGGTCAGATTATAACTTGGAGCGGCTCTTTGTAAACTATATAAGCGCAAATGCAAGGAGAAAAACTGCCCACGCACAAGCGCACTGATGAGCTCTTAGAATGGTGACCAAACGTGTGCTAGTCGATTACCAACCTCAGTGAACAGATCCACAGCCATCTGATCAATTACCAATGCATGCACCCGAGCTACCAATCTTTCCACACAATACCAGTCACTATTCTTTTGTTAGTTACTCCAGATATTTAGCAGTGCTTGGGTCGATCAACTATCCCAAGCTTTCTTTTCATTGAATAACCCAGTCTTCAGATCAGCCTTTCACCCATGAAGTGTTTTAGGTTTCTGTGCCGCGTGCCATAAAAAAGGGTTAGAAACCACCTCCTGGGCTCCTCTCCTCATCGACATAAAACAAGTCTCTCTCTAGAGCAGTGTTTAGTGTGGTCACCTCTTCAAACCTGCTCAAAGTGTACTGCAGAAAACTGAAATGGGAGGAAAAGCTTAAGGGCCATATCTGTCGGAAACGAGCTTGGCAATAACAGATGCCTTCACATGCAGTGCCGAGTAACTCACCGAAGACAACGCAGTGATGATGGTCTGGAAAAACTGTTCAGGGTGATTTTACCTTGCTACATAAAAGGTGGTCTTTGCAGACGGTAGCAGGCACTATTTGGTAGTGCGCAGAGCTGATTTTTGGTTGGGGGAACGCCCCAACGGGCTCATTTGTGCCATAAAAATGATCTCGAGATCGACCACCAGTTGCGTTGGTTCATCAGTGACATCCTTAATTAGCATCTACTGGAGGTATTTTGCTTTTTCGTTGAAGATTCCGAGGTGACATTTAGCAGGCGAGCTCTTGAGTGCTAGTGCTAACGAGGTCAATTCACTTTGCCACCCGATCGATGAAACCTCAGAAGCTTTGGATAATATTTTTCAAACCCGGTTATATCCAAGTTATAGACTACGACATCTCACCTTGCAAACTAATTGTGTGTATGCTAATGACTGAAATATAGAATCCCAATGACTCTGTACAGGTTAACATGGCCTCTACGAATACGCCTTCTAGGGCAGTTGGTGCATGTTCAATAGTCCCTACGTGAGTCCCAATTCAAAGACTTTTAGAAAGCTGCGTATACGAGGAATGACAGGAAACACTTTGAATTTAATTTACCGCCCAATTTGCAATCGGCTGTAACGACCTGTTGATTGTGCGGCCTAAGGTAGTAGGCTTGACAGAAACAGCTACGATACTGATGTAACGGTCGATACTACTGATAGGGCGTTCCAGTGGTATATGGTTCCTCGTAAATCCGCCTTGATCTAATGGAAGACGGGATTTATTATGGAATTTGTGGAATTACATTTGACTGGTAGTCAATGAATATCTAGGGAATTTTTAGAAGACGCGTTCAAGAAGATAGATATTCGGCTTTTTAAAACTAGCTGCAATTGAGAGTTTTGCCTTCCTGTCCAATAATCTGTAACTATTCAGTTGGTGTTTTTTAATAGGCAACTCCGCAGCGGAGGGCTTCTTCCTTTTTTGAAGAGGAACGACAAGAGTAACTGAATTTCACATAACACTTAATTTACAATCAGTTGTAGCAACCTGTTGTTTGTGCAGCCTGAGGTAATGGGCTAGTCAGAAACGGCTATGATACTGGTGAAAGGAAGAAGGCCTTCGCTGCGCAGAGATTTGTTCGGAAATGCCAACTGACCGGTTACAGACCATTGAACAAGGAAGCAAAACTCTAATCTGCATCTTAGTTACAAGACCTGGACACAGATCTTCTCCTGAACGAGTCTTCCTGGAGATTCATTGCCTCCAATCATTCGTCGGTCAAATAAAAGCAAATGTCACAAATTGGCCCCACGAATTCCGCAACAGAATTCCATTTCTCAATCGACGCCAAGCGAAATTCTACGAACAACACATACTACTCGCGTGCCTCCCGATCAGTAGTATCACCGTTACACTGGTATAACGATGGATACTACTGACGAAGCATGCGAGTAGTTCGTGATTTTGCGTCTATTGAAAAGTGAAATTTACTACGGAATTTGTGGATTCGCTTTGTAGCATTCGTTTACGTTTGAGTGGTAGGCAATGTGTATCCAGGAAAGCTTAGGAAGACACGTTCGAGAAGAAGACGGATAGACAGTTTTTATAACCAAGATGCATATGAGAGACTTGCTTTCCTGTCCAATAGTCTGTAGCCGTTCAGTTGGCGTCCTCCATTAAGTAACTCCGCAGCGAAGGCGTTCTTCCTTTCACTGGTACTAGCCAGAATCTGGGTCTTTTGTGTGAAGGTAGTCGATCACTTATCTACCAAGGTATTTTATATGGTTGGAGTGGATAGACATGGACAAACAAGTGTATCGGTTAACATTTTGGCTTACGACTGATTCCCTTCCAATCCGGTAGAACAACTAGCCGGTCGGTGTTGAGCAACTCATGGGTGAAGGCAGTGTATGAAACCAATATCCAGGGTAGGTGACTATGTATCGGCAACTTTAAAGGTTGGTCGGGATTGGTAACGTTGCCTGGTGCGTGATTATCTGCTGAATTCAGGTGAGACGTGGGCGTGCAAATCTTATAGATGAAATCGTAATGAGGAACTCTGTTTATTTGGCCGATATCACCGAGACAGTAAACCTTCAAATAAGCAGCTGGCTACTAGCGTGGCAGTTGGTTGTTGATCAGGTGGCTGTTGATCTGTTCGCCTAGCTGGCACTTGAATTGCAAACTTTTCGTCACCATAAGAGGACACATCATCAGTCCGTAGTTGGTTGGGTACTTCCTTCTTGCCTGCGTGCGTTTATATGGCATTCGGAAGCTATCTGTCATCTTTTGACGTGGTTGGCTACTTAAAGGGTAAGGAATTTAGTGAATCTATCGGTCCGTTTGTGCCTTCTTGCCTGCGTTTATATGGCATTCGGAAGCTATCTGTCATCTTTTGACGTGGTTGGCTACTTAAAGGGTAAGGAATTTAGTGAATCTATCGGTCCGTTTGTGATCTTTATTGCGTTGTGTTCCGCGTTTCCCTGTGTTGATTGGTTATCCCAAGGCCTTCTATTTCCACTAGCTTGTTCTCTTAGGCCTTGATTCGCATTGCGCTGTGGTCCGACGTCCTCGAGCTTGATTGGTTGCTTATATCGCCCTATTTTCTCCACCACTGCGGTTGGTGTCCCTGCATCCACCGGTTAATTTCGTGCTTTGGTTGAGCGTCTCATCTAATCCAATTGATGTGTCCGTTTGAATGGGGCTTTCCTGCTTCTCTAATGTGTTCCTTGTCTAGTTACTATTGCACCTCAAAGCTCTGTGGTTATGGCGTCCTCTCGCTCTTAGTGGTTGGTTGTTGATTGCTTCTTCAGTGGAGTATCACGTTTCCATAAATTCGCTTTCTTTTTTGTTCTTGCTTGAGCCAGTAAGCGAACCAATAGATTCACTAAATTCGTTATACTTAAAATATCCAATCACGTCAGAAGATAACAGATAACCTTCGAATGGCATATAAACGCACGCAGGCAAGGAAGAAGTACCCAATCAACTCCGCACTGATGATGTTTCCTCGTGTAGTGACGAAGCGTTTACACGCCAGTTGCCAAGCTCGGTGAACAGATCAACAGCCACCTGATCAGCAACCAATAAACTCACCCGAGCTACCAATATTTCAACAAATTACTAGCATGAACGTGTATAGTGCTGATTGCAGCCGTTAGAGTACCATATACCCCAAATATCCATATCCATATCCATAACCATATCTCCAAATATTCACTTCCATAGCTTCCGTATAATCATTATCCTCATCTATATTTCCGTTGCCTTAATCCCGGCCCGAATTCGGCCGCTTGGTTTCGTCCCGAAACATGCATCAACTGGATCTGTCAACTTGTCTGCCCATTTGTCCTAGGGCTAGTGGGTCCCATTGTGTTGCTAACCTAATGTGACTGTTCTCATCTGTCGTGTGTCCCAGTTACCGTCCCATTTTGTCTTTGTCCTCATTCGTTCATTGATGGTAATGCCACTCTCGGAGGCTCTTGTGTGCCACTTGCATGATTAATCTTTTTTTCGCGTGCATTGGTTCATCGTGTAGCTTTGAGGATAGTTAACCACTAACAAATCACATCAAAGTTCTGTTTTCAATTGTTGTTTGATAACAATACAGGAACGACTTGTTTTAATTACACTCTTACAACCCGTCTACGCGTTCGTCAGTAGCGATAGGGTTCCGGTAACAAGAGCCATAGGCAATATCCGTTTGTATTCTGAAACCCCAATTCCAAAAGCAACTGAAAGTTGGGTTGAAAATTACTGTTTTCCCATGTGTCATTTGTTGATTTCAGTCATTCGGACAAAACCCAGGAAGGATCGAGAATACACCCAGTAAGGTCGTGTTTCTCAAATGTGAGGTAGCTGCGACTCTTGTTTTTGTGCTTGTATGTGCGTCGCATCGTAAGCAGATTGTTGTTTAATAGAAACTCCATTTCCCTGCTCACAATTGAAAGACAAATAAAGCTATTCGCTTCTTACGTGTGGCAGCCGTATTGCTGACGGAACGGCGCAAAACCAGTTGGAGGGAATCGCTGGTGATTGCGTTGTGTTCCGCGTTTCCCTGTGTTGATTGGTTATCCCAAGGCCTTCTATTTCCACTAGCTTGTTCTCTTAGGCCTTGATTCGCATTGCGCTGTGGTCCGACGTCCTCGAGCTTGATTGGTTGCTTATATCGCCCTATTTTCTCCACCACTGCGGTTGGTGTCCCTGCATCCACCGGTTAATTTCGTGCTTTGGTTGAGCGTCTCATCTAATCCAATTGATGTGTCCGTTTGAATGGGGCTTTCCTGCTTCTCTAATGTGTTCCTTGTCTAGTTACTATTGCACCTCAAAGCTCTGTGGTTATGGCGTCCTCTCGCTCTTAGTGGTTGGTTGTTGATTGCTTCTTCAGTGGAGTATCACGTTTCCATAAATTCGCTTTCTTTTTTGTTCTTGCTTGAGCCAGTAAGCGAACCAATAGATTCACTAAATTCGTTATACTTAAAATATCCAATCACGTCAGAAGATAACAGATAACCTTCGAATGGCATATAAACGCACGCAGGCAAGGAAGAAGTACCCAATCAACTCCGCACTGATGATGTTTCCTCGTGTAGTGACGAAGCGTTTACACGCCAGTTGCCAAGCTCGGTGAACAGATCAACAGCCACCTGATCAGCAACCAATAAACTCACCCGAGCTACCAATATTTCAACAAATTACTAGCATGAACGTGTATAGTGCTGATTGCAGCCGTTAGAGTACCATATACCCCAAATATCCATATCCATATCCATAACCATATCTCCAAATATTCACTTCCATAGCTTCCGTATAATCATTATCCTCATCTATATTTCCGTTGCCTTAATCCCGGCCCGAATTCGGCCGCTTGGTTTCGTCCCGAAACATGCATCAACTGGATCTGTCAACTTGTCTGCCCATTTGTCCTAGGGCTAGTGGGTCCCATTGTGTTGCTAACCTAATGTGACTGTTCTCATCTGTCGTGTGTCCCAGTTACCGTCCCATTTTGTCTTTGTCCTCATTCGTTCATTGATGGTAATGCCACTCTCGGAGGCTCTTGTGTGCCACTTGCATGATTAATCTTTTTTTCGCGTGCATTGGTTCATCATGTAGCTTTGAGGATAGTTAACCACTAACAAATCACATCAAAGTTCTGTTTTCAATTGTTGTTTGATAACAATACAGGAACGACTTGTTTTAATTACACTCTTACAACCCGTCTACGCGTTCGTCAGTAGCGATAGGGTTCCGGTAACAAGAGCCATAGGCAATATCCGTTTGTATTCTGAAACCCCAATTCCAAAAGCAACTGAAAGTTGGGTTGAAAATTACTGTTTTCCCATGTGTCATTTGTTGATTTCAGTCATTCGGACAAAACCCAGGAAGGATCGAGAATACACCCAGTAAGGTCGTGTTTCTCAAATGTGAGGTAGCTGCGACTCTTGTTTTTGTGCTTGTATGTGCGTCGCATCGTAAGCAGATTGTTGTTTAATAGAAACTCCATTTCCCTGCTCACAATTGAAAGACAAATAAAGCTATTCGCTTCTTACGTGTGGCAGCCGTATTGCTGACGGAACGGCGCAAAACCAGTTGGAGGGAATCGCTGGTGTCGTTATGATCAGCATCCGCGGGACTGTTAGTTGTTCTTTCATTCATGAACACGAAAGACTTGGGCTTACTACAAGAACATGGCGTTGAATCACTACTCGTATGAGCATCTAAAGTACGAAAGACGGTGTTTAGATAAAGGTCTTCTAGCCGCAAAATTTATTAAAAACTATCTTTGGCGTGCCAGCACTTGTCTAACTTTTTCAGCTTTAATGTTAACTGAGGACAACTGTGGTCTCCAAGCTCTAACACTGCAGATGTTTGTGTTAGAAATGACCTCTTTCGTCTTTCGGTACCGTTAATTTGCGTTGGGTCTTTTTTATTTCGTGTTCCATCGACCCAACAATATTCTAGTGGCTAATGAAAATCTGTAGTATTTCTGATTGTGTTTCTTTCACGATTGACGATTGCGCTTGACGATTGCGCCTAACTCATAAGACCCAAGAAGTGCGAAACCGATCTTCGGAAACCATATGAGTAGTGAGTTCAGTCTACACTATGGACCGTATGTCTATGGCCTGCACACGGATTTACGTAGCAAACATTAAAAATTTATCCTCCAGGCTTAATTTTGGAAAACTTATGAACACATCAGTCGTGAAAACCGCAAATATGTTCTCGGACCACTCCGGAACCTAGACTGTCCATCTTATATTTTGCCTGTCTTCTTGGTGGAGAGCTTATTGGAGTCGCGTTTTTTTGTACCCCGAAGATGCGGCACTAATTCACTTTGTCAACAGGACTTTGGTTTAGCGTACTGGTTGATAAACCCGGGCATGCACTCACATACTCTTTAGAGAATGTACAGGGTGTCTCATTATAAACGGGATAAATAACACCCATGTTAAAACTTCACCACTAACTTAAACGTTTATTATTTTTTTATTTAAAAATACAGCCGTTATGGAGGTATATTATTAATAAACTGGTAATACAAAAGATGTTGAAACAAACCGCCCCTTTCTTCTATAACAAGTTGGAGGCGGTATGAGATGTGAGACACAGCATGTTTAATTTCCTCAAGCGTCACTAGTGCACACTCCTCTTCAATTCTTGCTCTTAACTCCACCAAATTCTTCGGTTTATTTTCATAATACAAGCGAGCCTTGATCATTCTCCAAAACCAATAAAGCAGAGGTGTGAGATCGGGTGACCTTGCGGGCCAAAAAAATGGAAATCCACGAGCAGTGACTCTCTCATCAGAAAATTGCTCTCGGAGGTAAGTTCTCACTTGGAGGTAAAGAGGTGGAACGCCATCTTGTTGAAAGACGGTCGATGATTTCTTGTGCTGCTTGAGTTGCGGAATAAAATGCGTCTGCAACATATGGAGGTAACTGTCGCCAGGTACTCTAGCATCATAGAAAAAGTGACACGAACGTGACACGTTGCTCCTTGTCTTCCGTGATGTTTTATAATAAAGTGAAAGGATACGGGTAGAGATGAAGGTGGCGTCTCATAATACGATGCACGCTGGCGCGGGGAATGCCGGTCAACTGAGACACCTGAGTTGTTGACGAAGATGCCATGGTGCTCTGAGACTGAAGTTGCTCGACGGCATTCTGTACAACGGGTGCGCTTTCATCACTCAGATACTTTCTTCCTTTGCCAGGAAAATAATACAGATCCAGTGGACTCAAATTTCGCAATCAAGCGTGTAATGGTCGACACGGTGAACGGATCTTTGATGAGACCATGTTTGGTTATGTAACCACGAAGTGCAGCGTTGGCGCTTTCACCAAGGGAATAATAGAGTTTCACAATTTCAATGTACTGACATCTGTCGTAAACAAGAGAAAATATTAACACTTGCTTACAAAACCTCCTTTATGTGGCTACTAAAATACAAAGTTTTGTTATCATTTTTTTAAATGTTTGCGTTTATTTACCCAACTAAATTTTGCGTGTATTATGAGACACCCTGTAGAATGAACGAGTTTGTATGTTGAGCCAATCGAACGTTTGGTTGACAAATATACTGCACAGTAAATTTTAGCTTTTGCCTGAAAAATGAGTGAATCATAGAGATACCGGAAGAGTTATTTTCGCTCGCTTTATAACTTAATTACAGATGTATTGCTCGCTGTCTTTTTTGAGTTTTCGTCTAGTGGAACAATATGTGGGTTTTGAAATGCAGCTTTATGTGCATGGAATTGTCGCTTGTGTTCCGCATCATTGATGGAACGCTGGATAGTTTGGCTATTTTCAAACTGGTAAGTTTTATAAGCTAAAACGCGTCAAGTATTGGTTGTTTGATTGCTTAGGTGAAAATCTATTGTGTGAAACACTGTAGAAATTAGAGAATACGGTGCCCTAGTTCAGTGGGAGTAGGCGCGAATAGTTCAGGGTGCATAGGCTAGCTATGACACAGTCAGGGGTCGTCAACGATAACCTTAGAAGAACAAAAGAGATTTTTCGGACTATCTTAACATTGAAAAGTGCGTTAATCAGTGTTGAAATTGTTAGGTACGGTCAAAAATCAGGAAATATAGTCTACAATGATGTATTTTGTGCTCATTTGGAACAGAACAAATATGTAAGTATGAATCTCCAGCAGCCGTTAGAATGTATACGTATAGAACTAACATCCCAAAAACTTC